ATGGACAACGTGGAATCTAAGGAGAAACTGAAGCCAAGTAAAAGCTATTTCCCCCTAAAATCAGCTGTGTATTAGTGTTCGCCTTGGTGTCTTCCCATGGTGGTGCAGTTCCTCGGGAAGCCAGACCAGAGGTGCACGGTGCTCTGCGGGGTCAGTCCCTCTCTTTTCCTCCCAGCCTTCGTCCTGCTCTTGCAAACAGCCCCAGACAAAGGGGTGGGAACGCACAGGAGATGCTTTCTGCCCCTCGGTTAAGCTGTGCTAAGGATGCAGTTGTGGATCCGCTCATATAGAAGCACAAGGGGAGCTTGAATTTTTTTCCTCTCTCCCCACATAGAGCCGTTTGTTTTGGATATCACAGAAGTCAGGGAGCCTGGCCTCCTCTCTCAGCTGGTATCACCAGTGACTGTATCACCTCCATGGTTGGTCTTCTGCCATGCCACTGCTCCAGAGATGTACCAGGACAAGCAGTGACCTGAGGGGCTCATCTATTTCTGCTGTAGAGGGGAATGCTGGAAGGGCCTTGAGGCTTGCTACTTGTCCTGCGGTGTCAGATATCCTCCTGCTCCCACTTGTTAGTGCTATTTTGGATTGGGTAGGGCAGCTAAAGAGGCTTCTGCTTTTTTTGGCTGCTCTTGAGAGGGTGGTGGACACAGAGCTCGTTGGGACCTGCCCGTCGTGTTGAAAAGTGGGGACAAAGGGATCTGCTGGAGACCCATCTTCGAGCACTGGGCATACTGGGCTCTTAGACAAGTTGCATGTAGGCTCAGTAGAGGCCAGGAGCCAAATTTAATCGTGTCAGTGACCCAGCTGGATTGACCCTTAGTGTGGCACAGAGGAAAAGCCTTCTACCACTACCTGCTCTTGTCCTAGCTGGCTTATGTGTCTGTTTTGGAAGGAGAACTGGGATTCAGCTCCTGAATCGTGTGGCTCCTACACCACTTCTGAGGATGAGAATCAGGCTTTTGCTTCATGTGTGCACCTTCGAAAATAAACCTAAATACCTCAGTAGCACATATAAATAAAGGATATATATTTGCAGTGTCGGAGTTGGGCTTGAATCCGGTATGTTTGTGGAGCTAATGTGTCTGTGTGTTTAATGCACCACTCTAAAAAAAAGCGTCTAAAGACAGGCTGAGCTGGGTAGGAGCTCCAGTTCCTGCCGTGCTTCGGAGAGCTCTGCTGAGGGCATTGCCTGGATGTGCTGCTATATGACATGCTGGGTCTAAATATGTCTATGAATATCTAATCCTCTCTGAATCCTGCTGTGTCCCTGACAGAGTGATGCTTTTTGACAATGAGTCCATATAAGAATTAAACATAATTTAATGTAATGTAATTTAAAGAATTAGATCAAACAAACCCCAGAGCCTGCAGTTTTGTCACTTGTGAAGTGTCTGTCTTTCCATTCCTGTGCATGCTCCCTCGCCCTGGGAGGAGGCCCTCTCCTATCTTCTCTTAGAAGCACGTTAACTTGTATTCCCATTTCATTTCTTCCTTTATTCACATAAGACTAAAACTTACTGGTTCTCACAGGAAACTGGCCTCACAGAGCAATCTCTCTCACCTACTGGTTGTCCTTCTCTCTTTTCTCCTTTCTCTTGGATATGCGACCAGAGGATCATAGGTGGTGGTACTCCCAGGACCATGGTGATTCAAAAGCAAGTTTTGTGCTCTCTAGCTAATACTTAAAATTGGCTTTCAGTATTTTGCGTTGTTACCTTGTTCACCACTCATTTAGAACTTTTTTCTAACTTTCTTCACCATATTAAAAAAACCCAGGGTCCCTCTAAGGAGAATTAGCTCAGGAGAGATAGTGGATCTATGGCGATGTTTGTAATTCATCAGCTGGTTTCACTAAAACTTCTGCTCATGACATACCTGCAGAATAACCCGCTCCTGAAACAGCCGGTGAGGCGAAACGGGAGGCAGAGGCCGGTTAGTCTGTGGGTGCTGAGGCCCAGAGCCACTTTCATTAAGAAACTGCTGAGGAGAAAGTGTTATTTGATTTTCTGCCAAATAAATGGGGAATCTTGGCTGTGCTTAAAGGGAAACCATTTGCCCTGACAACTGAGGGCTCCTTCTCTGTTAACACAGGAAGTGGTGTGGTCTTCTGAAATAGAAAGGAAAAATAACTTCCTCAGCGCTCCCTGCTCGCCGTGTGAGAGGCAGAGCTCCTCTGGAGCTCGCCGCGCGGTGCTGGGGACGTTGCCCTGGCCTCCTTCTCTCTGCGCTCCCCTTCGTCCTCACGGGCAGCGTGCCGTGGCCGGCACGTCTGGGCTGCCACTACTGCAGCCTAATGTCTCTGGGTGGGTTTTTAGCTTTCCTCTCTGTGTTTAAACGCAATGACTTGCAGTCACATTCAGTGTTTCCTACAGCTGCAGGCCATGCAGTACTGATGCTTGCAATCTGTGAATTAAAACCGTGAATTAAAACCAAACCAAAGTTAAAAAAATCCCTTTTTCCCCCTCTTCCGCGTTGTCCTCTCTGGCTCAGGTAAGTGCATTTAGCAGGTTCTTCTGTAATGCTGGAGTGAAAATAAGGTCACTGGAACTACGGCTGAAAATGCGGTGTCGTATTTAATGTCAGCAACTTGAACGTGCCCTGCGCCGGGTGCTCCAGGACACAAGGCTTAGCGAGCAGCGTGGGACTGTCCTGCTGGGAGTGCGACAGGAGATGTCTTTGTTGCTGCGAGGGCAGTGACCAGAATACGCGATGGGGCCGCGCGGGAACGCCTGGCCATGCCGAGCGCTAATCGATGCTGACATCAGCCGCTGGAGCAACGGGATGCCCGGGAAGGGCTGTGCCCTCCTTTTCCAAATCCTGCCTCCCCGGGGCAACTCATTTACATGGGCTGCCGCAGCCCTCAGCCGGCGCTGGAGGCTCTCAGCCTCGTGGAGCAACCTGCCTGGGAAGCTGGGACACTGTGAACGCCACGGCTAACAGCCAAAGCCGAGTTAATGGGAATACACGTTCACCTGCGTTAAAACATGGTAACCACATAAATATTAACTGTTTACTGCTGGATCATCCTGCCGTAGCAGGTAGCACTTTCTGTCCACGCAGGTTCCATTCTGGCCTGCGGCGCTGCACGTGGCGAAAGTGGTTGCCTGTCGCGCGGGGTCGTGAGGCTGCCGTCCTGGAGCTGCTTTCTTATCCGGCAGGCTCCAGCACCGCGGAGGCTGGAAGGCAGCTCTCATCTGCTGCAAGCCCTGCTAAACCGCTGTGACTTGACAGCTCTTAATTTGACAGCTTTTAACTAAGTGCAGTTCAGAGGAGGCTTACTTAGGTTAACGTTAGGAAAAATAACATTAGTTTCCACTGTAACTTTTTTGTTGTTTAATTTAGCAACACCGTATTTCAGTGCCTTGTTCCCGCAGCTCCTCTTATTTCCTGAACATGCCGTCTCGTTCTGCAAAATGCCGCCTTTTCCTTTTTTGTTAGCAGAGAGATTAATTTCCTCTCTTTTGACAGGAACCAGGCCATAACCATAACAGTAAATCAGTCAAGTGTGTGTGACTGCTTACTTTCACATTTACATGCTATTTGCTGGGCGATGTTTTCTAAAAAGGCAGTTCATAACCTCTGACCACCAAATTGACTGTTGTTTGTTGATAGTAATTAAAATATAAAATATTTTATCTCTAGGTAGTAAAATGTTCAGTGCTGCCTTTTAAATAAATTAATTTTCAAAACCAGACAGTGAAATGATCCAACGTAACTTCATCTATGTAAAGTCAGTTCTCAATAAGCATCAAGCATTTTAACTAAGTTTCCTGTACTCGAATAAGCTGTTATAGACGTCTTACAGAGAGCAAAGGGATTCTTTTTCTTTTCTTTACTTGATGGCTAGGAAAATTTTTCATTGCTACCAGTTTCTGCATGATGATCTACAAAGCAATTCTGTAACATATAAAAGGAATTTACTTTGAAGATATGTCAAGAGTTTTTGGATATTTAGCTTCGCCATTCCTGAAAAGAGTTCAATATTTGGTTTTCCTTAAGTTTGAGTACATATTTCTTTTGGTGGAGTCTGTTTACATTCAACTTTGCAACTTTGCATGTTTAGAAGAAAAATAATTCTATGAAATATGGACCTTAACTTTAAAAATGCAACCTTCAGCTTTTCAGGGACATTTTTAACCCTGTGATTCATTGTCAGCATAAAAACACCAGGTCCAGACCTTTTCAGTGTTCGGTGTATTAAATTGTATTGCAAAACGCAAAACAACTGAAAATGGAAGAACTGTATCACCATTTTATGGGCGTAACAAGTTTGGGTAAGGAGGTATTCTGTACAAATATTTTCTACAGATGATGATGTTCTGCACATAGAAATTTTTTGTCCAGGCACTGTAAATAACACCACGAACATGAGTGAAGCCTCTAATATGCCTGAGTAGAAGGAAAGTAAAGCTAAGTCAAATATATCAAAGCAAATGCATTTTGGTACAGAAGCATTTTTTTTCTAGTAGTCTTTAAAATTATTTGCTGAACATGTTCACAGCAGTTTTGGTTTGCTTTTTAGAAAAGTTTATTAACTAGGATTAGCTAGGAATAGAAAAACGGAAGGGACATTGCTACGTTTCTTCTTTCTGAGGGAAGCGTGTTAGCTCCCAGAATGGGGCTCCTGGAGTCACTACTTGCTGCTCTGAACCATTCGGGAATAATTGCTTTGGTTGCTTTCCTAGCAAATATTTTTACTGTTAAACTTATTTGCCAGAATACTTGTGGGAAGTAAAGACAATGGAGGACACAAACATAACCCCAGCGCATGTGCGGTTCTTCTTCTGGGACTTCATACATCAGCTCAAGCTTCGGCATTTCCAGATGTCTCCAGGTCCACCTCGGCCAGCGTCACGGTACAGCGCTGTCTAGGGATATTTGTGACCGCGGGGAGAAGGGGAGCAGAGGGAGGAATGAATCACCTGGGATTTTAAGTGCATGGATCTGGGCTGTTCAGCTAAGCTGCTTCTCTTCAGGAGATGTATGTAATCCTGTTTGGAAAATATAACCGTTTCTGCACTCACATGACACTTCATTTGTGCGGCTAGGCACCTCGGTATTTTGACTGTGCTTTCTTCCTGCCCTGAAACACTTAGTTTCCAAAATTCTAATTGTTCCATAACTGACATGATATTTAGTGTATTTACACAGGGAAAACATGATTTTGTATTTTGAATGGGGAGGACTGTGAATACCAAAAGGAGCCCTCTTGGACACCACACTGATAGTAGCAGCATTGTTGCTCTGTGCCGTTATATAGGGTCTGTTAGGGCTTGCGCTGCCAGCGTCTGGCCCATAAAGCACAGCGAAGGCCTATGCAGCGCAACGGCCACAATGAGAGACTCTGTCCTGCTCAACATAACTCATTTGTCAGGGCAAAACATTTAGGAATACAAAGTAATCATTAAAAACAGCTACATAGGAGAGCCATTTCCTTGGCTGGGTGTCTCTGAATACTCGACTACGCAGCAAAGAACTAACATTCGATGTTTGCCTGTCAGCAGAACGAGAAAGCACAGAGAGTATTGCACTTGGATGTGAAATGACTTCGGATTTAAACTTGACTGTACATCAGTTTCTGAGCTAAGTGGCTTTGCTGTTGCTCTGTTTCAGACCAGTTATAGAGCCTCCCTGCACGTCAGGGGCGAACGTAAGAGGGAAAAACCGCACCGAGAACAAGTGTTAGGATCTGCGGCGTCTCATCTGCCACGCTGCCTCTCATCCCACCGCGGGTTTTCCCTCTTCCAGCGACGACAGCTTCGCGGCCCAGGGCGGCGTAGAGCTCGTTACAGCTCTGTGCGGATGCCCTGTCCCCACTGCCGCCCTGCCCCTCGCAGGGCGAAGCGGGGGGCGTCCCGAATCCCTTCAGGGTGCTCCTGTGGGCTTCGTGCTTCCAGCAGTCAGTCTGGGCTGCGCTTTACCCACAGTGATGATCGCCACTTTTTTCATAAGCTGCAATTTCTGGTGCTGCAGTGGGTGGCGTAAGGTCTTTATCCCCGGTAGAGGCTGAGCACCGTCCTCCTTGGGCGGTAGAGGCTGAGCACTGTCCTCCTTGGGCGGTAGACGGTGAGCACTGTCCTCCTTTGGCAGTAGAGGCTGAGCACTGTCCTCCCTTGGCGGTAGAGGCTGAGCACTGTCCTCCCTTGGCGGGAGAGGCTGAGCACTGTCCTCCTTTGGGGGTCCCTTCAGGGTGCTCCTGTGGGCTTCGTGCTTCCAGCAGTCAGTCTGGGCTGCGCTTTACCCACAGTGATGATCGCCACTTTTTTCATAAGCTGCAATTTCTGGTGCTGCAGTGGGTGGCGTAAGGTCTGTAGCCCCGGTAGAGGCTGAGCACCGTCCTCCTTGGGCGGTAGAGGCTGAGCACTGTCCTCCTTGGGCAGTGGGCGGTGAGCACTGTCCTCCTTGGGTGGCAGAGGCTGAGCACTGTCCTCCTTGGGTGGTAGAGGCTGAGCACTGTCCTCCTTGGGCGGTAGACGGTGAGCACTGTCCTTCTTCGGTGGCAGAGGCTGAGCACTGTCCTCCTTGGGCATGGCTGAAGCAGGAGAGCGGGATAGGGAGAAAACGGCAGCGCAGTGAAGAATCCTTGTCTGGTTTCTGCAGTGGCTGCTGCGGTGCAGGACTGTCCCTCCTTCGTTCGTGCTGTTAACCAACTTTTTTTTAGTTCCAGATGAGATTTACTCCGGTGGCTGAGGACCAGCTGCGAAGGGGCATCGCTGCGGCGGCGCCGTGCAAAGGCAGACGGCGCCTTTGCCGAAGAGCCTGCAACCCCGGAAGAGCTCCGTGGTGGGGCAAGGACTGCCGCACGCAGGCAGGAGGGTTAACGAGAGACTGTCCATGTTGCAGTTTCTAGGATCAAAAGGAGGAGGATGCATCGCTCTTCTCTTTGACAGTTGAATTCTGCCAGGATAAGTTTTTATAAGTAGCAGGACGAGCAGAGACAACTTTGTATGGGTGGTGACAAGTAAGTGTCACCATCAGCAAAGGAGAATTATTACAAAATATTCACTCTAACATTCAGATTTGCTTTATAAACAAGATTCTTTCAGAAAAATGGAAAGTCTATATGCTGCTGTCAATGCTGCTTTACCGCAGTGCTGGAACTCCCTGAACCTTTCCCATCAGTTTTACATATTTTTGAGGCTTCCAGCTGATCTGTGCAAAGCTAGAATGATTTTAGTGGAGGAAAAAGAATTGGAAAGAGGTTTCGGAAGCGTGAAAGAGATTTTTCAGTGTTTATTTTTAAGGGGGAGAAGTTAACACTCTAAAAAAGCCAAAACGCCAAGCACAACAGGGTTGCCAAATGTCAGAACACGTGAACGTGGCACCTTCCCCTCAGCTTAATTAATCTCCTGGTGAACATCGTTACTGTGGTCCTTGTGCTCAGCAGGCCAAGCGAGCCTGGCAATAGAAAGAATTACAGCAGTTTACGAGCTGGTTTGCTTGTGTTTTGCTGTAAACCCATCTGAAGGTAACTGAAAAGATTTGCCTGGCTTGCGAGGCATTACAAGTGTAGCTGTCAGGAATGAGCACAGCACAGTGGCCTGCAGAGCAAGATCCTAGCTGAAAAGTGCAATAAATAGCATTATTTCGATTAAATAATGCCTGGGACTTGATAGTTTTAACTAAAAACAAAAAACAAAAATCATCTTTTAAACGTAACTGAGAATGTTGTATTTTTGTAAAGTAGGGGCCTGTTTTGGGCTAATCTACAAGATGAAGGGGCCCATGCAGAAAGAACTTTCATTACTAATAAACATCAGTTTATCTTTTTTAACTTCACCAAATTAAGAATGAGAGAAGATGACTTTATTTATAAATACCCTTAGGGGTAAATATCAAGCAGGAAGAATTGTGTAAGTTCAAGGTTAATATTAGCCTGAGATCAAGCGGATATAATTCAGTCATTAAAAAATGTAGACTGGAAATTAGAAGACAGTGAATAGTGGCATAAGAAGCAAAATTCTGGAATGACCCTCTGAATAGAGATGTAGTCTGATAAGCTTGTGGAAAGGGTTGTGTAACTAAATAGAATTCCTGAAGATCGAAAATCCCATTTTGATGTGAATCCTAGAGTATTTGGTGTGCTGATGTAGTCAAAGGAGGCTGAAAAGGGAGGGATTGCTGTTTTTTTTTTTCTCTAGATCTATACTGTATTAATCCTAGGGTTTCTGCTGATCATCTGTGAGGATAAGAAAATAAATTCCATTGACATATTACCTCACTTCTGGGAGCTTGGGTTGTTATTTTTTTCCCTATCATCTGAACCAATGAAGATCAGCCACAGCCAGAAACAGGGTACAAGTGAGATTTGCTGAATAAGTAGCCTTAAAATCTTAGGGGTCTGACTGGTGTCCCCCATTTATATTCTCAAAGATTACTCACTAGTTTAGGTTCAGAAGGAAGTTCTTGCCTCGGTCAGAGGAAGAGCCATTGAGACTGTTGTCTTTGCACTCCCGTGCAGTACGGGATGTGGTTCACTCCCTGAGTTTATCAGTAATTTGCACTTAACGAATAACTTGCTCTTCTGGGAACGTAGGCTGCTGATAACATCTTCTAACTCTCTTCCTGATGTCTGTTAAGGGTGTGAGCTTGGTCTTTTCCTATAGGTTATGGTGTTGTCATACCTGTCTCATGTAAGCAGATATTCTTTGTACCGTTTTGACCAAGACATCTAGCACAGTGGCATGCAATTGTCGGGGTCTCAGCTATATAACCCCAGCTTCCTTGCCAACCTTATGTTTTTATATTATACAAATACATAGCAGTACCCCACAGTATGTACAGACCTTCTAAAGACAGGCCATCCCAATGTTCAGTGCTCTTTCAGTGGAAAACAGGTTTGTAAAATTTTCATTCCCTAAAGTGTAGATGAAGAAGTTGTTAGGACATGCACTTCATTCCTAGGTGGCATTATGTGAATGCAGTCTAGTGTTTTACTCCCTGGCTTGAGAAGCATAGCTTCATGTCTGTTGAGGGAGGCTAGAGTGCACCTCATATTTCTGATTGATTGAAAACATTGGACATAGTGCATGGACAAATGGAAAATCCCTTGAAAATCCAAATATATTATCCTTCTTTCTGCAGCACAGAAGACAGAATCACAGGTTGATTTTTCATTCTTTAAGACAGGTTTCCTAATAAATGAAAGTCCATGTGGCATTACAGAAAAGCTGACACATCATAAACTGTCCAACTCTCCCATTTGCTTTACTGAGCTACTTAGTCCACTGCTAGCAACTTCAGTGCTGGTTAAGCTATTTCTCTCCGTTCTACCACAGGCGCAGTATTTTGTGGGCTCTGTCAAGTGAACATTCTGCGCTCTCTAGGTCTCCTACCTTTCTTGCTGTTATGTAGCATAAGCCAAGACTATTTAAAGCTTGATTTTGTATTATATCAAGCTGCTCTAGAAAGCCCTGTTTTCTGATTATAAAGTAATTATGGAGGACAAGTTTCACTCAGTCCCAAAATAGCTGGGCATCAAATTCTCAGCTGTAATAAACTGGTATCTTGCCATTGTCTTCCATGCGTACCTGCCATGCGAGATCAGCTGCAAATCTGCTCCCAGGTGGTAGGAGGTGAATGTGGTAGAGAAGCTTGGTCATAAAACTGACTGTGAGTTAGACTAATAGTTTTTTTGTTTGTTTGTTTGTTTTTTTAAAAACTGCTGGGAAGGCTGAGATTAGTGGTGCTCTGAAGATACTCAGGTCAACGTTAATTACTTAAACCAAAGATACAGCTTTCTTCAGAGCTCTTTTACTACTCTGTAGGTCAGTGATGGAAAATAAGCTATAGCTGAAAGCAGAGATAACAGGAGATGAATATACATTATTTAGAGTTGAAGACCTTCAGGACAAGGATTGCCTATTCCTTTTTGCCTGTACTGTGCCCAGCACGCTGGGTCCCCATTGTATAGGGTCAAGTGTAGTAAGCATAATTAACAAAAATACAGCAACTCTTGTTCAACCAGAACAACTACAGCAGAAGACCAACAGATGAGTTAGCCCACACTTATCCATACTACTTGAGCCTTGTTTAAGTGGTATTATTTCTGCCTACTGATCTTTATTTCTATTCTGAGAAAAGATGCATTTCTAATATATATTCTGATATACATTCCCCTTAATGACAGAGTCAAGGGCACTTAGGAACTTAAACAAATATAAAACATTTGAAGAATGCTGTAAGTACAGGTATGGGCATAAAATTGCCTCTATTTAGGCATCATTTTGAAAAGTTCCAGTGGTTATTAGAATAGCAGACTTTATTGTACGTCAGGATGCTGACGGCTAATAGCTGCATGGTACTCAAAGTCCATGTGCTTATATCATATTGCAGTGAGTAATACCACAAGAACAAACAGAACAAAAGTAATAAACATCAGCCTAACAGTTTCCAAAAACATTAGTGGTTTTTGGATGCCACAGTTTTAGGGTGCTCAAGGGTCAGTTTTTAACTTTTGCTCTGCATGTGTCCTCCAAAAAGTCAGTTTTCTTTAAGATGTGCCTAGCTGAGCATCAGTTACCTGTAAGGCTCACAGCATGGAACATGATTTCTTTACTCATGTCTATATAATCTAAGTAAAAATGAAATGTACTAACCAGATAAGAGGTAGGTGGTTAGAAAATCTTGAAATACTTGGAGGAATCTAGGGCAATATATCAAACTACTTAATTTCATCTTCCAGTTGCAAATCAGTTTCTGCTCATTGGGGGAAAAAAATGTCTTTTTGAGAGTGTTTCTTTATTGGCTCAGAAAACAGTAAACTTGAAGGTGAATGCGTTCTGCGAACCTGTTACAAACTGCACCATTTCCACTTAAAAACCTTTTGGAAATCCTTTAATGAAATATTTTATTATTTTGGTCTTATAATATTGTCCATAAAAATTCCACAAAAAGCAGTTGCTTGATTTTGCAGAAGCTCAGCCTGTTGATTTCACTTTACCATCGGAGATGCTCTTTGATGTTTGGCATTAGTGTGCAAATGATAAATTTCATGAATATTCTAAAATGTAATTGAAACGCCTCATAATCTCTATTTTCTATACATTCTTGAATTTGGTAGTTTCTCATAGACATGTTTTTCTCAAATTCTGCTTTTTCTTTTTCTTACATAATTTTCATCAGTAAAAATAAGCCCTTTGTATCACTTAAGTTGTTTTTTTTCCTAGGAAATGGACTCCTTTCTATTTCATTTTGTGAATATCTCTTCTAAACCCCTTTTATTTCAATAGGATTTATATCAAAATTGGCAAGAGCAGTGATATTATTCCCCACTCCTCCTCTTTCTTCTGACTGATCTTTCAGAGTTAGAAGTAAAGAGATCACGTTACTTTAAAAGCAATTTGACCTGCCTACAAAATCATGTGCTTTGGCTTTCATGCTCTTCCTTTCAGGACTTACATGACCCCTTTTACAGAAAAAAAAGCCTATGTACATTATCTGAGTATTGTGTGTTTTAAATTCCCAGGATAACTAACCTTTTGAGTATGAAGTTAAAGCATTCCCATTGAGGCTACTGGGTACACCTGTTTGCTTAATATCTCATCAGCAAGATAATCAGACTGTGGGATGTGACTGAGCAGCAGTAATCAAGTAGCAAATACATCGTAATAGTCAAATCTATCCTGTCTAGATTCCTGCTATTGAATGGCACAGGGAAAATCAAGGATTTGGACGCTGAAGGGCTACAAATGAGGAAGGCAAAGATGGAAAGTCTGCAGCACAGGATATAAGGACCTGAAAAATGGAAGAGCAGTGCCTTGAGTACAGGGCCTTAAACATCCTTGGAACCATAAAAGGTATTTCTTTTTCTGATAATGTCCTCTATGTTGCTAGGTGCTAAACAAATGGAAGTAAAAAACTCCAACGTTCCAAGTGGCTTACTGTGCAAAAAAGGCCAAGGGATCTCCTCGGAGAAAAGGCTACAAAATTAAGAGTAGTTCCAGTGATGGTTAACCATATTGTGGTTATGTGCTATGTTTTTAATAAGCTATATAATCTTCTGCCTGTTGCCTCTCTAATTTTGAGGAGAAGTAGTGGTTTAAGAAGTAAAAGGGAGTCTTGGGACTGGGGAGAATACATAGAAAACTGTAATTAAAGGAGCGAAGGACAGGCAAAAAAATTTCAGATAAGTGACTAGGACTAAGGACGAAAGTCCAGACTTACCAATTGGAGTTGATAACAGAGTAAGGAGGTGGACAAGTAGTACTTGGATGTTGTGATGTTTCGGAAGAGAAAGAGGACTAGAAAGGGATGAGGATGAAGAAAACTCATTAATAAACTGTGTGAGAGGAAGAGAGGCTGCCACTAAAAGTACTGAAGAAGCGGCATTAAAAAGGGCAATTGAAGTCTGTACTGTATAAGGAGATGAAGAGAGGGACAAGACCTATTCAGTTAGAGTAGATCAAAGAGCAGATTGTTCAGTCAGTTAACATCTTTCATTGTGCTTTGAGAATTTCTCTTGGATAACGGTTTTCAAATTCCAAACTTTTTTGCAATCTTTATGATATTATTGAGGTCAAACTACCCAGCCACTGGACAGCATCGGACTGCTTCAAGTCAAGCGCATGATTGCTGTAAATGACAAACCGATGTGGAACAGTATGAGAACAACAGCAATTTTGACAACAGTTTGTGATGTCTGGATTATCACATGGGATATCTGGATACTACACAAAGTAGTTTTTCTATTTATTTATTTAAAGCCATCTGGTCTTTTCCTATATTCTCTGAAATGTTTCCATCTGCTCTCGGTGCCAGAGCTGACCCTTGTTGCCTGAGGCATTCTATTTACTCCCCCAAAAGCCCATCCCTCCCTCCTCAGTGAAGTAAATAGTGTGATTAATGTTTTTCCAAGGTTAGAAGTTTCTTATTTACACACACAGAAAGAGAGCACTTCGCAGTAGTACTACAATTGATTGAAATAAATACAGCTACTCAGCAGGTCAAAGGGGCTTGCGAGGAGTACTCGATCCTCTGTGGGGGATACAGACCTAGAATCACAGCAGTATCCGTGCCATGAAACAACGAAGGTATTTCCTGGCACAGAAAATCCTTCTAAACACCATTTGTGGCATCAGAAAAGATGCAGCTAATGCTAAAGAGTACGATTTGTTATCAGATTCTTAGATTTGCATATTACTGTAGCAAAAACTAATCTTTTAAATTCCTAATAACACAAAGCTTTTTCCAGCCAAAAAT